ACACACACACACACACACACACACACACACACACACACACACACACACACACACACACCAACCGGTCCATGTGTGTCCATGTTTTCATTCCTTTGTGTCAAACCGCAGTGATCTCATCTCTCCATCGTGCAGTTTGTTGTGTGTGTCTGCTAATAGCTGYTTCCCTTCCTCTTTGGCCCTGCTCGCCTCTGGCTGTCACACAGAGGCAGGCATGCATGCACAAAAAGATTTAAACCCTACACCCACTCTTTAACTCTGCCTTTCCTCTAAAAGGCATCCTATTCTGCCCGACTATCATCCAAATCTTTTACCTTTATCCTCAGCTGCATCACTTAAACACACACACTTAGTTTGAACTCACACACACACACATGTTCTTGTTACTTTTGTGTGTTAATGCAGCRTCTGTGAGGATTAGAACTGAGTCAGAGAATAAAAACGCTCCTGGGAAATCCCTTCCTGGGGGTCAGGAGCAGCAGCCCCCTGCCCCAGCAGCGCCGAGGGGCTCGTCTGGTCCTTTCTCCTGTTCTGGCTGGCTCTCATTACTGCAGGCCCCTCAGACCCCCCAAGGTCAATTCTTTTGTCCAGTCAGTGGCATTCATGCTACAAACGTTTCAGTTCACTGTGTAAGTTTTCTACTGCTGATGTTGAGTGAGGATTGTGTGGCCTCAGCAGACTTTTAGGTCTGTTGCTTTTTCCGGAGTCTGGGAGATAATTTCATTTGAACAAGTGACAACACTATAGTTATAACCTTATTTTAATGGAGAAGAAGAGCGAGCATTTTAAGAGCTTTAAAGCTCGGTGGAGTAACATTTTTCTGTCCTGCTTCAGGTCAGCTGATCGAGCGAGTCCTCGTCTCCTCCATGTTGAACCCGGGTGAGCAGTGGCAGACGTATCGTCACCACGGGCACATTCTCAACATGGAGTACCGGCTTCGCTTTCTGTGCGACTCTAACTACTACGGTCCTTTCTGCAACAAGTTCTGCCGGGCCCGAGACGACTTCTTCGGTCACTTCAGCTGCGACCTGAGTGGCTCCAAGGTCTGCATGGAGGGCTGGACGGGTCCAGAGTGCAAAGAAGGTAACGGAGCCGAGTTTCACCTCGCATCCATCCATCCATCCATCCATCCATCCATCCATCCATCCATCCATCCATCCATCCATCCATCCATCCATCCATCCGCTTCTTGTAAAGGAGTCAGGACCCAGACCTCTTTTTTCACAGCCACCTCTTCCAGTTCTTCTGGAAGGATTCTGAGGTGGTCAGCTGAGAGTCTCAGTTGCTCCAGCATGTCCCAGGTCTTCCCCAGGTTCTCCTCTCATTTCGATATAAGGAAGCATCCATAGGATGTCCCTTACCAGATACTGGTTACATTGGGGCACCTTTTCTTAGGTGCACCAGCACAAAAGTTATGTGCACACATATTTTCAACAGTGTCACGTTTAACATCACAGATTTACAGTTTAGTTGTTTTTTTTTTGTTTAAATCATTGTCCATTATGGCAATATTAACTCACAAATAATTAGTTAATAATCAAGTAAACATAAAGTTGTTTATTTGAACCAGAACTGTACAAGACATATAACTTACTGAAAAAGTACTTGAAGTATATTAATAAAAAATAAAAAATAAAGTAATAAATTCTAAGTGCAAATGTTTAAGGGTTGAACATCTTATAACCATCTCAAACTAAACAGTTCATGATTAAATGTCTTTTAAAATGCACATGGTCCTCGGATGGTCAGCTCCTGTAGTTTGGCCTTCTGGATCTTTGGCCTTGACTAAACCAGCTGTCCACGCTCCAGACTTGGTYCGTCTACATGGATTCTTATCAGATCTTGTGACAGAATGAGGGGATGCTCTGGTGTCCCCAAGTCCCTTAGTTCTTTGGTTTACAATGAAGTTTTTGGGGTTAAAAAAAACTCACCGACACATTTCACCATTTATCTTGTAATCATCTAATGCTGCAGCCAAAGATGTTCCTCTTCCTACTCATTCCTAGCCTGGTAAAAACCAGACCCTTGTCCTTCACTTTGCTTCATACAAGGGTCTGGACTCTCAGCTATAGAGAAGTGATTCTTGCTGGAGGCGTGGCCTCTGCTGAAGTTTAAAATGATTGGATCGGTTGTCAGCGACATATGTGTACCAGCTCCACTGTGAAGGAGGCTAAGATAAGAAGCTAAACAGAAATCGTGAGCGCTGTAAACAACCCTACTGAGAGGAGAGAAGTACCGAGCTGAACGAGACAACTGTAAATGAGAGCTGCTGCTTTGTCAGACAAATTTAGTTTAATTTGGAAGCCTTATCAACAYRGACTGGCTTCATTCACTTCCTCTGCTGTCGTATGCTAAAATAACTAGCAGGCATTGTGCAGGAAATCAACGTCGTTCAAAACTCCGCCTTCTGTTTGCTGATTGGCCCAGGTAAAATAAACTACAAGCAGACACTGCRCAGAAAATTGAYRTCGTTCAAARCYCCKCCTTCTGTTTGCTGATTGGCCCAGGTAAAATAAACTACAAGCAGACACTGCGCAGGAAATCAACGTCGTTCAAAACTCTGCCTTCTGTTTGCTGATTGGCCCAGGTAAAATAAACTACAAGCAGACACTGCGCAGAAAATCAACGTTCTGTTCTCTGATTGGCCCGAATGAAATCCTTGTCTATGGGAGAAATCCCAGATGGAGCAGTGAAGGGAAACTAGAATTGAGCGGAGCCGTGTAGGAAGGCAAGGACCAGGCTAACTCATTCCTGGAATTTTGTAAATGTTTTCAGTTTGAGGACGTGCTAGAATATCRAGAGTATTGGACATTTTAAAAGGTATTCAGCGGGTTTTCTTTTTTGATCAGCATGGGTTCTACGAGCAATGTGTGTGTCACTGAGCAGCACAGAGACAGAGGAGAGGAGTCGGGCAGGAGAGAAGGGGCTTTGTTGTTGATGTGTGTGAGAGGGACATGTCTATTAGACATTATGAAAGTACAGATTTATTATTATGGGACATTGTGTTGACATGGAGACTTTTTGGGTCTCCAACTGTAATTTTTTTCTAGTCGCACAATTAAGAAACCAGGTTGCACTCTAGACCCCTGCACCCACCTGAACTTGATCCTCTCGATGTGAGGCAGCAGCAGCTCTACACCAAGTTCCTCCTCAATGGTTAAACTAAACTGAGAGCTCCGTCTTGCTCCGTCCTACGCCTCTTTAAGTACCCCAGCAACAAGAAAGAATTGGTCCAATGTGCAATGGTAGCAGATCTAGCACATCTGGGCATTATTAACAGAAAACATTACCTGTTCAGCACTGTTAAACTACAGTTTTGGTCAAATTTTTTTTCAGATTTTATGTCGATAAGATAAAAAAATTAAAGTGCAACAAAACTAAAAATAAAAATGTTTTCTTCCCTGAAACGGTTTTCCTTGAATGACCTGAGTCAAACAATGTTTTTCTTTTCCATTTTCTTGTTTTCTTGCCCTTGAATGGAGTTTCCTTTAAAAAAGGTCTTTAAGGTTTCCTAAAAGAGTTTTCCATTAGGATGTCAATGTTTTCCTGTTATATTTTGACCTTGGAAGCCCTATAATTGTGCATAAAAGGCTGTCAAAATAAACATATTTTCTTTCCCTTTTTGCCTGCTTAAAATTGTTAGATATGCCACGTCTTCTACAAATAAATTTGTAGAAGACAAAATAACACTAAAAACTGAGTTAAAGCCCTTTTAAGTAATGATGTTACAATGAGAAGCTCAGCCTTATGAATGGAGAGATGACTGMGTGTATTTGCTCCAGCTACAGAAAATGGTTACGCTTCAGTAGAGAGGGTGTAGGACGATCTCTTGTGTGACTCATCAGCTGGACGACCTCTCTGTGTGACCCGTCAGGGCTGTCTGCTTTGGAAACAGTAAAAGTGAGCGGAGGAAACCCGAGTGAAAACCAGGGAAACCCTGAAGGACACACAGACAGTTTGACCACATCCTGCCGCCCTGCCCATCCCGCTCCTGCCCCACTTCGTCYGACTTCCTCCTCAGCACGCTGCTGATTGGATCATAGAAAAGCAGGAAGTTAGAAGGATTACCCCCAAAGGTCACTTTGTTACCCCCTGCAGGTCTCCCATTAAGATATGTAGGGAGTTTACAATCAAGCATTCCAACATGATAATAAATCAATTGTCCCCTGCCATTAAAGTCGAAAGGTGGATATTATTGTTGTTGTGCATGTGTTGCAGTGTTAGCAAAATATCTCATGAACCATTGAACTGGTTTTAATGAAACTCTAATCATTAGCTGCTGATTTACTTTTGGAGCCAATCAAATTTAAAATGGATGCCACAGTTAATCAATCCTAGCCTAACTCAGTCAGTTTTTTAATATATTGAACTAGAATTTGGAGCTGTAGGAGCTGAGAGTCATCTTCAACTCTGACAACTAATTGATCTCATTAAATCTGGCAAAAGATTGCACATCCAAGTATGACCAAAACAACCTTTGGCATGAAAAGCAGTGGAAGACTTGCGTGCCTTCAAGGGATGCTGGATTTGTACCATGATACACTTTATCATCATCAAGTGTAAATTGCTTTTTGTTCCCGGATTAACCTGCAGAAGCATGAAGAGTAATAACAAGAGTCTTGGGAYCTGTTTTCCAGTCACCAATCTCTGTTTTTGTGTATTTTTCCACAGCTGTATGTAAGCAGGGGTGCCATCACGTCCACGGTTTCTGTACAGTACCTGGAGAATGCAAGTAAGTTTCAACAAACAAGAAAGTGTTAGGTTCACTGCAGGCACCTCTGCTGGTATAAATGTGACTTAAAATATTTATCTATCAAATGTCTGTCATGTTACCCTGAGTAACTCAGCTCTTAAAGGGATCCCTGATTACATTATACTTTCTTTGATAAACATAGCTTAGCCTGTTAGCCTTCGCACTAGCGTCAACGCTACATTGCTTTATATGTATTAGCTCGGTGCTAGCATGACAAACAACCTAAACTGAGGTCCTCCATCCATATTTTCTGAGTCATTTTTGTGTTCCCCTCTCTGTCTTGTGGATGGAGGACCTCAGTGACGAGAGGAGAATGTGTAGCGCTGAGCTAATACATATATATGATGATAGCATCGGGGCTAATGCTAAAGCTAACAGGCTAAGTTGAGGTTCTTCTTCCATGAAGCAGCTCTGTTGTCCTCCATCCATATTTTCAGTTACAGGCTGAGTCATTTCTACCTTCTCCTCTCTGTCAACGCTCTCTGGTTTCATTTAAAAGAGCCGATCATCAGATATTGTCCAAGATTAACCTTCAGGGTGGATACAGCTCACTAGCAGCCTCGCACCGATGACCTATCCACGTCATCATTTACCCAGAATGCTTTGCGTGTAAATAAAATGGCCCCGTCCGTGTAATATATTTTTAAACTTTTAGTTTAAAAATGATAAAAACTGAACATCCTACAGTATTTTTACAATCTTTATTTTACAGTTAAAATATATGTTTATAAATGAAGTCTAACGTTACAACTAATCGTGGATCCCTTTAAAGTGAAACTGGGATAATAATTCAGCTAGATTTATTTTGTCAATGTAGGAAAATATGGGTATTGTGTAGCTGGTTCAGATGTTATCAGTCCATTAAATGGACGTTATTAGCAGTTATCAGTCCCATAGAATGGCTTCAGAATGTCCCAACTGTGCCACCTAGTGGGTTATCCATAGAAGGGCTTCAGACTGTGTACCTACTAATACGTTGGAAGCCAACAATCTGCCGGGCTACTTTAACCTAGCCTAGGTAATTTTCTCTAAAAATAACCTTAGTGGCTTTATGCCTCAGCTGACAGTCTAAAGCCATTCTATGGGACTGATAACTGCTAATAAAGTCCATTTAATGGACTGATAACATCTGAAGTGGGTGTATTGTGACTATATCAAGAGTTCCTACAGTAAATACAGCGACTCAGTCTGCATGTCTGCTCTTCCTTCAGATGTTATTACGGCTGGAAGGGTTCTTTCTGCGATCAGTGTGAGACGTTCCCCGGCTGTGTGTACGGCAGCTGCACCGAGCCCTGGCAGTGTGTGTGTGACGTCAACTGGGGAGGACTGCTGTGTGACAAAGGTCTGATCAAAGCGCAGATTATGTATGTGTCTGTCTGTTAGCAAAATATCCCACGAACCACTGCAGCAGTGTCTACAGCTGATTAACTTTTGGAGTCAATTCAGTTCAAGCTGGCCGCCACAGGCAATCAACCTTAGCCAACACAAAAATGGCTACAAATTTGTCAATTGGATTGTCATAGCTGAGTGTGACTGGTAGAAGACTGTGTTTCTTCAAGGAAAGCTAGGCATTTATTTTTTTAAAGTTCTGCATCTGGAAGAAAAACAGAATACAAATAAATCAGATACTGATCAAGTAAGTGAGATATCTATCAACAGAAACTATGTTGGAGAATAAAGATGGACACATCAAAGCAGACATGACGGGTGTATTTTTACTATTGCATAAAGCTCTTTAGTGCTAAGCTTAACAATTGTAATTATTCCACATACCGTACTGTAAAGAAGAAAGAGTTGTTTGGTGTTTTGTATGTTGGCTAAGAATAGCCTGATCTGACAGAGAAACATTGTGTGAACATTATTCACACGTCTCTCTGTTAAAGATCCTCTGTAGGAGATAATGAAACAACTACCTGAGGGCTTTGCCCCTTTCTCCCTGACTTTTCCCACCAAACTGTGGCAAAGTCAGTCCAAAGTGATCCTCTGTCCCAGCCAGGAGCTGGAGAGCAGCATGTGCCCAGGGGACGGTGCATTGTGGAGAGGAAAGGTGATAGCCTTGGGTAAAGTGAATGTGAGCGGGGCTGGGCTTGGTGCGCTTAGCTAGGTGGGGTCCTGAGCTGTTTCTGTGCATTCAGAGAGGCTCTTTAAAGAGTGGCAGTGAGACAAAGACACCACAGACAGAGAAGATGATCAGAGAAGGCAAAGCTTTAATCTGCCTCAACRCAGGGCACAATAGACCCTGCAGCTACACTGAGCTGACCTGAATTCACTTTTKGGTTTTTATGTGTTTCAAATCCTTTTATCTCCCCCTCTGCCTTTAACGTCTCTGCTCTGCAAGCCAGCATTTAAGACAATAATCTAATTCCATGTCCTCAGATTTGAACTACTGTGGCACCCACCAGCCGTGTAAGAACGGCGGGACCTGCACCAACACCGAGCCCAACGAGTACCAGTGCGAGTGCCAGGAGGGCTTCCGAGGMCGAAACTGTGACATCGGTGAGAGCCGGCCTCGCGTTCCTGAAAACTGCTTACAATAAACAACAGAATCAGCCCTGTTTGTTTACATAGACGAAGCAGTCACAAGAACAATCTTTAATCTTTTGTTATGATTAAAGCCAAATAAATTTCATCAGCTTTTCTCTCCTCTTGTTCCACCTCCTTCCTGTCTGCAGTGGAACATGCATGTTTGTCAGCTCCATGTGCGAACGGMGCCACCTGCGTGGAAAACCCAACGGGCTTCAGCTGCACCTGCACCGACGGCTGGACCGGAAGCACCTGCGCAGACGGTGACTGTCGATGCTGCACACATGTGAAGTCTGAGCTAACGGGAAGGGCAGATGTTGAGATTATCTGTGATTGGGTATAATTAGATCAAAGCCATTCTGTGATGCTAATCAATCTGAGAAAGGAAGTTAAATTAGTCTGAACACAAACAGTATCAACAACAATCAGTGGACTGCCTCGCCCCGTTTCTGCTTCTCTGTGTGTGAAAGTATTTATACAACCAGCTAATTCAAACGACTCCGAAGAAGAGCCGATTTAATCTACTGATTTAAAAAACATAGGAGGAGTCTTAAATTGCCCCCAATTGAATATTTTGTCTAATCTTTCACTGTTTCAAAGGGTTAGGGTTTGTTTTTAATCACACACATGCTTTCATGATCTGGTGCAAGGACTGCACAAAAAATATGTGAAAAAGCAGCCAAAGTCCAAAGAAAAACTGTGAAAGTTTAAAAAAAAAGCCTGGGAAACTCCTAAAAGATTACCAGAAAGTTTGGTTGTTTGGAAGCAAAACAGATTAAAAAAAACCCTCTGGTGTTTTAAAACACTTGTACACTTCTGCAGTAGACCGTTATCCTGTTTAAATACTGAAAAACAAAACCACTGAAGCCAAAATTGCTTCCTGTGATGGAATGAAAAACAGAACGTAAAGCACTAATTAGATTTAAGAATAATGAGAAACAAAACAGGTGCTTGTTTTTCCTGGACCCCCTCTCTCCACAAAGAGACACATGAAAGACAACACCTTGTGAACATCACTCTGTTGTGTAGGGCCGTATCACGCAGACAACTGAAACCGACTTCACTCACAAACACCAGAGTTTGTGTCACAGCATCCGGTTGTGCCGTCGGACGTGTTCGTAAGAAAAAAACGAACCCGACTGCTGCCCAGTGTCATTTTATCCAAATTTGTTCTCTGCGAACAAACAGAGACCACTGCTAAACATAACAACAACACACAAATACACACCAGTGTTTGGAAGAGGAATGACATGTTGTTGTTGGCATTTGTCTTCGAAAGTCTGCGGCGCAGCGGCCTGACGTTTTTCCTCAAAATATGCACAGCCAGAAAAACTCGACTTTATGAGAGTGAAAAACCAGTAACACCAACGGATCGTAAAAGACTGAACTCAGAGCAACAATAAAGTGTTTTCCTCATATTTTATTTTCTTCTAGCTGCAAATAAACAAATTTTACTTTTTTCTCTTAAAAGTTATAATGCAAAACTTTAAACCTGAAGTACTCAATGTGAGAATTGCTGATAACGATGCTATGAAAACACAGCTTCACGGTTTCTTATTTGGATTATTCAAAAGCTTAGCTTTTTTCTAAGGAAAACCTTATTTGGTTATTTAGTGTTCAAAACATAATCGCTTAATCTTAGTCTATATAAATTGGTTGGTGTCCATTTATGTGTTTTTATCTGGAGATAATGTTATCTCATGAACTGCAGGATGGATTTTAATTCAAATGTTAAAGTGTTTATTTGATACACATCTACAACTCATTAACTTCCTGGATTCAACCCAACTCAAGACAGCTGCCAGAGCTAATCAACCACAGCGAACACAAAAATAGCTGTAATTGAACAGAAATTTTTAGCATAGTTATAGAATAGAATTGAGCTGAGACCTTCAGCGAGGGGG